GAAAAACTGCTCTGTGTTCAGTCAATTTTAAAAGATAATCTTATGTTTTACTGACTGCTCCCCCGCAAGATTTTTTTTTTTTTTTACATTTTAAGGTTAAATGCATCAGTCTCGTGATCTTTGATAGATCAAAATTAAGAGCTTCAAACCCATGAACTGTTCGTTGAACAAAGATAAAGCATTGATTTGTACCAGGAAAATAAAGAGGGCTCAAACATCTTTTTAATTATGGGACTCTCAGTCTACATTACATTATCAATGGCGTTTTAGGATGCCAAACAATTATTATAATAATTATATAATGATCTATATAATTATTCCTATGACGTAAAATCCATGTAGCCTATAAATGTAGGTGTATACTATATAAATGAAAATGAATATTTCAAAAGTATATTTTAGTATATTTAAATAATAATAATAAATATTTAAGTATATTTATTACACTATAATATAGGAAAATTAAAACACTTTAGTCCTTATTTCTACACTTGCAAGAAATAAACCCTTGAGCTTTTATTTAGTAGAAAACACCAGATTACCATGCAAAGTGCACACGTTTCTCTAAATCACGCAGCACAAACAGAATGCCTATTCTTAAAGTCTTGTGCTGTTTTATAAAGGCAAAAAACAATATCATGGTTTCGATTTTAGTTCATTGGGAAAATATAATGCTAGAGACCTTCATGATAGTTTATACATTTTACATCTCATATGTTCGGCAAAAGGCGGATTCGAACTCGGGTCCGACTGCATCAAAGGTCTTTCCCGAACTATATGCTCTACGATCCACGCCACTAGCTACTCCGTCACAGGCGTGTTTTAGGTAAAAACACATACACATAGTGCAAATATAGGCTACGCACCGTTTTATCAGACCGGCCTTTGCGACCTCGAAACACTGACCATCTTCATCCCAGTGTTTTTTTTTCAAATGGAGTTTGAAGAAGATATTGCATGGTCTCTTTCTCGTATGCCGCTGGCCGTATCTCACTGCCACGTGACCACACCAAGTAACTCAAAACTCCATGTTATCAGAATTAACACTGATTGGTTGAATTGAGAAAATTTAGTGACGTTTTACTAGCATATCAGAGCTTCATTGGTTAGATAGCGAGGGCGCTCTTTCTCAGCGCCCCCAGGATAAAACTACACAATTAAGCTGGCTTACTAAAATATCCCCACCCCCACCCTGTCCTTCTAGTGTGTAAAACACGTACACCTGTACAGAAGAAAGTCTTTTTTTTGTCAAACTTAAAAAACTTTTTTTTTTACTTGGTAGGAGGGGCGGCGCCCCAGCGCCCATAATAGACCAGCCGTCTCTGATAACATCACCAAAATGTTAAATACCGTTTGACCAAAAATCCAAATCACAGTCTCTACTGCACCAATTTAATTGATATTAATACTAGTGTAGAACATTGCATAGAAACTTTGTCTATTCCTCATTTACTGAGATCAAATAATAAATCTAACGTGGGATCAAGAAAAAATCTAATTGTTATTCAAACAAAAAATCTCACTATTAGTGAACAAAAACAATTTCTAAAGCTAGGTCTTCTAAAACATTAGATCAAGATCGCTCACACCTAAAGCGGTTATTGTAAATGAAATGGTCACAGATAATAACTTCGATGTTCTGTGCCTTACTGAAACCTGGCTAAAACCAAATGAGTATTTCGGTCTAAACGAATCTACTCCGCCAGGATACTGTTAAGCATGAGCCTCGTCTGACCGGTCGTGGCGGCGGTGTCGCAACAATCTACAGAGATATCCTTAATGTTACTCAGAAAATATGCTAAATGTTACGCTGTTAGATGTAAGAAAGAAATTCCTATTATCTCTAGCATTGGCTACCGTATATAGACCTCCAGGGCCATATGCTAAATTCCTAAAAGAGTTCGCAGACTTTCTCTCGGATCTATTGGTGAATGTCGATAAAGCATTAATTGTTGGAGATTTTAACATACACGTAGATAATACAAATGATGCATTAGGGGTTGCGTTCACAGATTTATTAAACTCCTTCGGGGTCAAGCAAACCGTCACCGGACCAACTCATCGTCTTAATCATACACTAGATTTAATTATATCATATGGAACCATTCCAACTGATATATTATACCGCAAAGCGATGATGTCACTGATCATAACATGGTGACTTGCATATTACGTACTGCTGTAATATGTCATGCTGCGCCACGTTATCGTCCAGGTAGAACAATTCTTCCATCCACCAAAGATCATTTCTCAAATAGCTTATCTGATCTGACTCAGTACAGCTGCTGCCTGAACCCAAACAAACAGATGAACTAGACGAACTGACTAGCACTATGAGCTCCATTCTCTCTAGAACATTGTTGCACCCATTAGATTAAAAAAGGTCAGAGAAAAAAGTATAGCACCATGGTACAATAATACTAGGCATGTTTTAAAGAGAGAAACCTGAAATTTAGAGTGTAAATGGAAAGAAAAACTAATTTAGAGGTCTTTAGAATCGCGTGTAAAGACAGTACGTCACGTTATAAAAACGCCAGGACTGAGCACCTCAGCAAAATAATAGAAAACAACCGAAATAATCCAAGGTTTTTATTTAACACCATGGCTAGACTAACAAATAAACAGATGTCACCCGATCAAAATATCCCGTTACAGTTTAGTAATGATTTCATGAACTTTCACAGAGAAAATTGAAAGCAACAGAATCACAATCATAAGCTCTCAATCTTTGTTTGCGCCTTATAATTCAGCCGCAATTATCACCCCACAAGAACAATTACAATGCTTTAAAACCATAGAACAAAAAGAGTTAAATAAACTTATCACTTCATTTAAAACAGCAACATGTTTATTAGCTCCTATACCAACTAAACTACTGAAAGAAGTATTACCTATAGTGGAAGAGCCTCTTCTTAATATTATTAACTCATCTTTATCAAGCTGGCAGTTATAAAACCTCTTATTAAGAAACCGCAATTAGATCCAAATAACCTAGCAAATTACAGACCTATCTCAAATCTTCCATTTATGTCCAAAATATTAGAAAAAGTAGTGTCCGCTCAACTCGGCTCTTTCTTGCAAGATAAAGACATCTATGAAAAGTTGCAGTCAGGATTCAGACCGCATCATAGCACTGAAACTGCGCTTGTTAGAATCACAACTGATTTACTTCTAGCTTCGGACTAAGGCTGTATTTCAATACTAGTTTTACTTGATCTTAGCGCTGCGTTCGATACTATAGATCAAACAATACTCTAAGATCGACTACACAATTATGGTGTTCAAGGACAAGCATTAAGCTGGTTCAGGTCATACTTATCTGACCGCTACCATTTCGTCTACTTAAACGGAGAAAAAACGATCATAACTTCGGCAAACTATGGAGTGCCGCAGGGATTTGTGTTAGGCCCTTTATTATTCTCAATATGCTGCCACTAGGTAATATTATAAGGAAACATGGAATTAGTTTCCATTGTTATGCTGATGACACTCAAATATATATTTCATCACGGCCAGATGAATTCGCTAAATTATCCAAACTGACAGATTGTGTTAAAGATATAAAAGATTGGATGACACGTAATTTTCTTTTATTAAATCCAGACAAGACAGAGGTAATACTTATTGGTTCTACAAACCGTCCACAAAACCTTTTGCAGCACGACTTTAACATATTAGGATGCCCTGTTACTCTATCCGCTACAGTAAAAGACCTGGGTGTTACATTAGACCGCAACCTGTCTTTTGAAAAGCATATTTCATAGGTAACAAAAACAGCCTTTTTCCACCTTAGAAACATTGCTAAGCTACGTAACATGCTATCTGTCTCTGATGCAAAAAAGTTAGTTCATGCATTCATGACCTCGAGACTAGATTACTGTAATACTTTATTAGCCGGTTGTCCTGCATCCTCAATAAACAAGCTACAGTTAGTCCAAAATGCAGCTGCTAGAGTTCTTACTAGATCAAGAAAATATGATCATATAACACTGATTCTAGCATCACTTCATTGGTTACCTATAAAGTTCCACATTAATTACAAGGTATTGCTTTTGACTTATAAAGCTCTAAATGGTTTAGCTCCAGTCTATTTAACAGATCTTCTATCGCCCTACAACCCATCGCGCTCTTTAAGATCACTAAATTCGAGGCTTCTGGTCAAGGATATCCAGATCCACCAAAAGAGGGAGAGCATTTTCACATTTAGCTCCGAAGCTCTGGAATAGCCTTCCTGATATTGTTCGTTGCTCAGACTCGCTCTCCCAGTTTAAAACTAGACTAAAGACGCATCTCTTCAGCCAGGCATTCATATACATTTTTTATCTCACAGTTACTGTAAATTTGGCCTCTATAAACGCCAGAGGAGAACTGGCCCCCGACTGAGCCTGGGTTCTCCCAAGATTTTTTTTTCTCCATTGGGTCGTTTGATGGAGTTTTAGGACACCGTCGGGTCACTTGATGGAGTTTTTCGGTTCCTTGCCACTGTTGCCTTTGGCTTGCTCAGTTGGGCATATTCAAATTAAATGACCCATCATACATCATGACCCATCATGACCCATCATTGATCAGCTCTACCAATCTTGATTGTCTTTTTATGAATAAAAAAACACTGTGATGTTGCCTTGATTGATACTGTGAAGCAGCTTTGATACAATCTGTATTGTGAAAAGCGCTATATAAATATATTTGACTTGACTTGACTAATCCTGCCTTTTAGGAGAACATTCTGGTAACAAAAATAAAATAAGCTACAGAAAACACAAAAAACAACAAAATGCTCTCAAAACATTAATAGAACAATAACAATTCTAGCTGGGATAAGCTCATATTGTGGTCATAGTATGAGCACACAGTGAGTGCTCTGTGAGTTACACTTTTAGCTTATTGTGATCTTACATTGCTGGTGAGATCACGGTGAGATCAACATGTTGACTGGGTTGCCAAGGTTTTATTTATAACACAGTTTACTTTTGTTTTTTAGATGGCTTCATTTTTGACAGCTGAAAATTCACATTTAAGGCACCTGGAAGACATTAAAGAATCCATAGATACTCAGGATCTCCCATCAGCCATAAACACGATTAAAAATTATCTTGACATGCAAGATCTTGAAGAACTTAACATTGGTATCACAGGGGAGTCTGGTTCTGGCAAGTCCTCCTTTGTCAATGCTTTCAGGGGTTTAGGAGATGAAGATGAGGGCTCTGCCGAAACTGGTGTAGTGGAGACCACTATGGAACCTAAGGTTTATCTTCACCCACAACACAACAATGTGAAAGTCTGGGATCTTCCTGGCATTGGATCACCAAACTTCAAAACCAACGAGTACCTTAAACTGGTTAACATTGAACGATATGATGTATTCATTGTCATTGCTGCTGATCGATTTAAGGAATGCCACGAACTGCTGGCCAAAGAGATCACAGGAATGGGGAAAAAGTTTTATTTTGTTCGTTCTAAGATTGACTCTAACATTGCTGCTGAGAAGAGGAAAAAGAAGGCCAACTTTGATGAGAAAAATACACTTCGTTCCATCAGAGAGTACTGTGAAAACGGTTGGTCAATGCAGTAAACATCAAAAACGGCAATCTGTTCTGATATCTTTTATCAGAACTTTTCTCACATAAAAATTCATACTATAAATTATACTTATAGATTATATTATAAATAATAATCATTGTTCATAAATTAATTTTATCATTGTTAATGTTAAATTAATGTAAAATGTATAATTAAGTCTATATATATATATATATATATATATATATATATATATTCTATATAATGATATTATGTATTCCTTTTTTGCCATTTCAGGGCTGAGAGAGATCGATGTGAAGGATCCTGTTGTTTTCCTGATCTCCTCCCATGAATCGGGAAACTATGATTTTGATCTGCTGGAGAAGAAGATAGAGGCAGATCTTCCAGAGCATAAGAGGGATGTGCTGCTATTAGCTTTGCCAAATATCACACTGGAGATTAATGAGAAAAAGAAGAAAGCTCAAGAGAAACGTATTTCAAGAGTAGCCTTTCTGTCTGCTTTAGGGGCTGCGGTTCCTGTTCCTGGTCTTTCAATTGTTGTGGATTCAGCCATTATAACAAAAGAGATAGAAAGGTATTTCAAAGTTTTTGGTCTCGATGATGAATCCTTGCAGAAACTCTGTGAAAACTCTCAGAAGAGCATAGAGCATTACAAGAGTTTGATGAAGTCGTCACTGCGTGGTGGAATAAACCCAACTTTGGTATTCACTTTACTGAGTGCTGCATCTCTGGCTGTGGCTGGAGATGCAGTTGAGTATGCTATGAGTCTCATACCCATAATTGGTACTGTGATTGCCGGAGGAATGTCCTTTTGCACAGTCTCAGCAATGCTGCACAAAGCTCTGAATGAAATTGCAGAGGATGCCAGAAATGTGCTTTTGGATTCAGTGCAGACTGAAGTGTAAACAGAACGTCACAGACCTGATTGTCTATTTATAACCAACTGCTATTGGGGTGTTAAAAAATATAAATCACATTTAACACATAATATCTATTTATGATGTTGATATTTACATTTACATGTGTTCATTTAGCAGCTACTTTTAATTTTACAAATGCAAAGCAAGGTTTGTTGGAAAGTTATTGCTGTAATTTTAAGTAAAAATTCTTAGATTTAAAGTGATTCTGTTGTCTGTGTTTTGTGAATCACCATTGTGCTGAAGAGTTGAGCCTGTGCTTCAGACCAGGAGAAGATCTGTAAATATTAATGATTTGCTACATGTTGCTTTTTTTTAACAGGCGGTGACTGTGTAGTCGCTGATGCAATGAAAATATAATCTCTAGATTAATTCCAGTTGCAAATTTGTGTGTGCTGTTAATAGCCAGCAGTTATCTGTGTGAGATTTATGTTACAAAGATGTTTACATTTTTTTGTTTAATTTGGTTCACCTTACTTTTGTAACGGTCACCAGCTGGAGTGCCCTTTGAGCCAGCAGAGGGCACTCCAGATAAGACTATTATCACTCACAAACTACATTTCCCATAACTCACTGGCCGGACTCACCATCACTGATCACATCATTCACTGATTGCATTCACCTGTGTCTCATCCTGTTAGTCTGTCTATTTATACCATGTTCGTTCATTTGCTCACCACGTAGTCTTGTTGTACTGTGTGTCTGCATTTCTGAGCGTTTTCTGTGTTTGTTTTCTGGTTTTTGATTTTGGATTGTTCTTGGATTCTGATTATTGCTGCCTGCCCTGACCTCTGCCTGTTTCTTGGATTCCCACTGTGTATTCTCCATTGTCCTGTCTGCTAATTCTTGACCCTGCCTGTATGACTATTCTAAAATAAAGCTGCATTTGGATCTTCATCTCCACGTCTCAGAGCAGTTCATAACAACTTTAAAGCAACATCAAGTAACTTTTCCTGTGTGGTCACCCTACAGGTTGGAAGCGGAATTATATGGAAGCTTGTTTCCGCCACAGAATGAAAAATAAAAAAGGTAATTGCGACTTTATATCTCACAATTCTAACTTTTTTTCACAGAATTGCGAGATATATAGTCAGAACTGATTGATATAAAGTCGCAATTGCGTGTTATAAAGTCAGAATTGCGAGATATAAAGTCGAAATTGCATGTTACAAAGTCAGAATTGCGAGATTTTTAAGTCAGAATTGCGAAATATAAAGTCAGAATTGCGAGATTTTTAAGTCAGAATTGCGAGATATAAAGTCAGAATTGCGAGATATAAAGTCAGAATTGCGAGATATAAAGTCAGAATTGCGTGATATAAAGTCAGAATTGCAAGATATAAAGTCAGAATTGCGAGATAAAAAGTCAGAATTGCGAGATATAAAGTCAGAATTGCGAGATATAAAGTCAGAATTGCGAGATATAAAGTCAGAATTGCGTGATATAAAGTCAGAATTGCAAGATATAAAGTCAGAATTGCGTGATATAAAGTCAGAATTGCGAGATTTTTAAGTCAGAATTGCGAGATATAAAGTCAGAATTGCGTGTTATAAAGTCAGAATTGCGAGATATAAAGTCAGAATTGCGTGATATAAAGTCAGAATTGCAAGATATAAAGTCAGAATTGCGAGATAAAAAGTCAGAATTGCGAGATATAAAGTCAGAATTGCGAGATATAAAGTCAGAATTGCGAGATATAAAGTCAGAATTGCGAGATATAAAGTCAGAACTGTGAGATATAAAGTCAGAATTGCGTGATATAAAGTCAGAATTGCGAGATATAAAGTCAGAACTGTGAGATATAAAGTCAGAATTGCGAGATATAAAGTCAGAATTGCGAGATATAAAGTCAGAATTGCGTGATATAAAGTCAGAATTGCGAGATATAAAGTCAGAATTGCGTGATATAAAGTCAGAATTGCGAGATATAAAGTCAGAACTGTGAGATATAAAGTCAGAATTGCGAGATATAAAGTCAGAATTGCGTGATATAAAGTCAGAATTGCAAGATATAAAGTCAGAATTGCGTGATATAAAGTCAGAATTGCGAGATATAAAGTCAGAATTGCGAGATATAAAGTCAGAATTGCGTGATATAAAGTCAGAATTGCAAGATATAAAGTCAGAATTGCGTGATATAAAGTCAGAATTGCGAGATATAAAGTCAGAATTGCAAGATATAAAGTCAGAATTGCAAGATATAAAGTCAGAATTGCGAGATATAAAGTCAGAAATGTGAGATATAAAGTCAGAATTGCGAGATATAAAGTCAGAATTGCGTGATATAAAGTCAGAATTGCAAGATATAAAGTCAGAATTGCGAGATATAAAGTCAGAATTGCGAGATATAAAGTCAGAATTGCGTGATATAAAGTCAGAATTGCGAGTTATAAAGTCAGAATTGCGTGATATAAAGTCAGAATTGCAAGATATAAAGTCAGAATTGCGAGATAAAAAGTCAGAATTGCGAGATATAAAGTCAGAATTGCGAGATATAAAGTCAGAATTGCGAGATATAAAGTCAGAATTGCGAGATATAAAGTCAGAACTGTGAGATATAAAGTCAGAATTGCGTGATATAAAGTCAGAATTGCGAGATATAAAGTCAGAACTGTGAGATATAAAGTCAGAATTGCGAGATATAAAGTCAGAACTGCGAGATATAAAGTCAGAATTGCGTGATATAAAGTCAGAATTGCGAGATATAAAGTCAGAACTGTGAGATATAAAGTCAGAATTGCGAGATATAAAGTCAGAATTGCGTGATATAAAGTCAGAATTGCAAGATATAAAGTCAGAATTGCGAGATATAAAGTCAGAATTGCGAGATATAAAGTCAGAACTGTGAGATATAAAGTCAGAATTGCGTGATATAAAGTCAGAATTGCGAGATATAAAGTCAGAATTGCGAGATATAAAGTCAGAATTGCGTGATATAAAGTCAGAATTGCAAGATATAAAGTCAGAATTGCGTGATATAAAGTCAGAATTGCGAGATATAAAGTCAGAATTGCGAGATATAAAGTCAGAATTGCGTGATATAAAGTCAGAATTGCGAGTTATAAAGTCAGAATTGCGTGATATAAAGTCGCAATTGAGATGCCTGCATAGCATTTGGGATGTTACTGTAAATTCAAATACATTAGTACGAAATGACCGCGAAAAATAACCAACAAGCTGCCATTTTATGAAGAACTCTTCAGTTCCCTTCCCTCTGTAAGAACACGCAGGCCGTGCATCGCGTCGCTGTCGGCAACGTTTTCGCCATACATCTGGTTAGTAATTCATATTTTTATGCAAACCATATGAGTTACTTACGTTAACAGATTAACGTTAGAAAGAACTGGCCGCGGAATGTTCTATAACGTCTGTATAAGTCCACAGTGAGCTGTGCATTTTCCACAGGTGTGAGCTGTGCATGTTAAGAAGACCGGACCCCTATCCATCTTGACAACCGATGAATTGTAAATCTAATCTAATTTAATTATTCTATTTATCTAACTACTACTACCTTGGTCCAGTACTGACCCACTGAGAACATTTTAAACGGATTATTATCCATCTGTGAATTTTGTCTATCTGCAAGTTGTTTAGAATTGTTGTGTGAAAAAAATAAACATTACTGTACAGTTTAAGGTTTAATTGCATAAAAGCTTGGATAGAAAACTTCCTATTGCAAAAGTTAGAACATAAGTCTGCTTATAAATGATTATTAATACCATAATGAAAGTTTTTCATGGCACATGTGCATGATGAGGTTGTTTGTGTTTAGTTTTTTTAAAGGACACTGGATAACTTGTCATTTTGTAATACTCATCTGGATTGGTGGTTTACTCGTCAAAGCTTTTATAGTTTATAAGTTTATATGTGTCTCCCAGCCCTGCAAATCTGGTCCCTTAGATAGAAAGCAGCCAAAAACCCTTTAAAATCAGCAACTGACCAGTTAGACAGTCTATCTCAAACCAATAGACAATCTTAGGCCCCGTCCACACTACTGCGTTTTCGTTTAAAAATGGAGACCTTTTGCTACGTTTGCACCTCCCGTCCACACTAAAACGGGAAAAACGAAGACCTAAAACGGAGAAGTTTAGAAACGCTGCAGCTGCGTTTTGCGTTTTGAATCTCCGGAGGGCGTTTTAGTGTGGACGAGACAAAACGGAGGAGTTTACAAACGATGACGCAGAGGCTCACGCTCGGCTCTATGATTGGGTGTCATCAGTCATGACGTGTCCTTCCCTGATTCGCCAACCATTGTTTACACCGGCACGCGCATGCCCAGTGTTGGTGAATGGTCACGTGATCCACGTTTTCAGTCGTTTTAATGTGGACGGAGATGAATTCTAATACGCAGGTAAAACGCTAGTGTGGACGGAGATCGTTTTCGTTTTAATTCTCCGTTTTTAAACGAAAACGCAGTAGTGTGGACGGGGCCTTAGACTAGTTTAAGCTGTTTTACCCCAGCAGGGAGTGGGTGGCTGAGTTGTTATGAACTATCTTTCTAATAGATATTGATCAGATAGCACCCCTTTAATCTTTTCTATTTTACCTGTTCATGATAATTTTTGCATGTATTTATGCATAATTGTTCATGATTGTCATGCATGATTTTTATTGTATTATATTACATTTTTATTATTAATGTATTTAATTGTATTAATGTATTTAAATGTATATTATGTAAATGTACTAATGTGTTTGAAAATACACAATAAACCTTGTGCAGTTAAAGCTTCAATTGTTCTTTTTTCTATTTCCCATTAACAGTTAAAATAATATTTCTACGGATTTTCTACAGGTTACACAGTAGCACTATAAAATAAATACAATAACATTTCATACTATACAGTATTATTAAAAATTAACAGTGTAATTCTGTACTTTAATATGGTAAGAAATTACAGTAAAATAATGTTATTTAATTTGCAGTATGCTTAACAGTACTGTAGTTAGTGTTATGGTAATTTTACTGTTAAATGAAATACAGCAAGTACTGGATAATTGTTGCC